AAAATGGTACTTAAACCATTAACTTAATTATTTTAAAATTCATTTAATTTATAAATTCATTTTTATTTGACGTGGAAAAAAGAAAACAATTTGTTTTTTTTTTTCATGTGGGCCCCACAAAAAGTGGGGAAGCAATCTGACATGTAAAAATGCCACGGTGTCAAAAATGTCCTTGCTGGATTTACACGTCATTAAAAATGAAAAAAGCCGATGATTTTGTGGCATCTTAACGAGCCACCTGGCATTTAACTGACGGAATGACCATTTTGGTACCAAAAATGAAAGTTGAAGGATAATTTTGGTACTTTTTAAAGCTGAGGGACAATTTTGGTACCAAAGTGATAAGTTGAGGGACTAAAATGGTACTTAAACCAATAGATTTTTAATGCAACATAATCAAATGGTTGAGCTAAATTAAAAAAAAAAAAGAAAATGATTTATAGACAATCTTTTTGTACTATTTCTTGAAATAATTTTACATATTATTTAAATAATTAACTTTTTTATTCATTCGAAATCCATAATATTGAATGTATTTATTTATTTAATAACATATGAAAGTTATATAAAAATGTAATATAAAAAAGTAGACCTATATCATCGTCCAATAAAAAAATACAAAATAGAAGATGAAGAGCATCAAATGTAATAAAATCTAATACAATTAACTAGATAAAATTTAGACTTAAAAAAGAAAAAAAATATAGTTTTATGAAATGGAATTAATAAAACTGAAATAATATAATATAAAAGGGGTGATGTTATTGTTACATCTTAAAAAGTTAATACTATATTATTTTAATGTAATTATCTATTATGCCCTTACTTTATATTTTTTTCTCAAAACTCTTTTTTTTTATTTCTTAATAAATTAAAGGGTATAATAGTCAATTAAAATAAAAAAATATGACATTAACAATATGGTAATAAGATCACCTCATAAAAGAGAGGATAAAAGATTTTTTTATATTCGCCTTTATATGTATCTAAGTTCAAGACTTTTCACTAACATTATTATTTTTTTCATGTCTAACTCTATTCATATAAGTAACTCTAATATTTTTGAAAAAAAATAAAGTTTCACACTTTCTTTAATTTTACAAATATCATATAATCATTATTCAAATTTTATGAAATAGTATTAATAAAACTTAAAAAATATAACATAAAAAGGATGAGTTATTGTTACATTTTAAATAATTAATACCACATAATTTTAATATAATTGTTTATTTTACACTTACATTATATTTTTTCTCAAAATTATATATTCTTTTATTTCTTAATAAATTAGAGGGTATAATAATTAATTAAAATAAAAATGTGTGATATTAATAATTGAGACATGACAATAATATCACCTCATAAGAAAGAAAAATAAGGACTTTTCTATGCTCAATTTTGTATGCATCAAAGTTCAAAACTTTTCTACTGACATTGTTATTTTTTCATATTTAGTTTTCTCCACATGAGTAGTTCTAATATTGTTAAAAATATATATATAAAGCTTCACACTTTCTTTAATTTTACAAATATCATTAATCACTATTCAAATTTAAATATTTTTATTAATTATTGTTAATTACTTAAAAAAAAGGAAATAGAAACGTTGCAAGAAATGGCCAGACAAGTGTTCTTGGAAAAAAATATACAGCCAACAAAATGTACCATACAATTTAAATATATTGTTCTAATATATTAATTGATGGTAGAATAACTCTTGTAATAATAATAATCACATTTTAAAAAGAACTTAAAAGAAAAAAAATTACCAAAAAGAAAATCAAGCCACATGTAAAAAAAAAAAATTAATTAAGAAATACAGATAAATGTATCACCTAACAAATTTTCTTTTAATTTTTTTTTGAACAAGTTGTCAATGAGTGGGTTTCGGGGAGGGGAATGCACCTCAAGCTGACAGGCTTCCAGTTGGTCCGAAAGGTCAGGTGTAACAAATTTTCTTTTAATGGTTTCTTCTTTAATTATAATATATATATATATGTTTGTCTCTAATGATAAATGATGTAGTGAGAAAAATAGAGAGAGGGTTTTGATTATTATTTTTTAATTTTATAGTAATTTATTTCAT